ACCGCAGCCTGTCTGACCAGGGCCCGGGGGTGACTGCCGGGGACCTCCCCCAGGCGGGTGGGGACAGACCTGGGGCTCAGAGGCCTCCGCCTCCCGGGACGGGTGTCCTGGGGGTCCAGCAGCTCCTGCCACCTCCTGGTGCCCTCAACGAAGGGCAGCGAGTGGCTCCTGGTGACGGGCACGCATTCCACGGTGGTGGAGAGCTGAGTGGGGACAGAGTGGAAGAGGAGGGGCCGCGCCCTGTCAGAGGCCACGCAGGTGGAGCGGGCGGGGCAGAGGGGCCCGTGCCTCCTGCGTCCCGGCCCCAGTGCCCGGATCTCAAAGTGGAAGGAGTCCTTGTAGGTGTAGGGCACGGGCAGGTCGATGCTGCCCTGCTTGGACAGGACGGTCTTGCGGGGCCGCACGTGGTCCAGCTGGGGATCGTCCACCACGGCCTGGTTGTGGGAGATGAGCCGGGCGATGCGTTCCTCCAGCTGCCGCTTCTCCAGCTCCAGGCTGGGCTCCTGCCCTCCCGGCTCAGCCCTGGCCCCCCCAGGCCGTGAGGCGCCCTCCCTCTCAGACTCCACACTGTGATCCGACAGGCTGTGGGGGGGGCTGCCTGGGGCCGGTGGCTGCTCCGAGCTGTCCGAGCGGGACAGGTAGCCCGAGTCGGTGCTCTCACACTTCCTCAGCCGGCTCTCCGAGGCCCGGGTGTCCTGCAGGGAGCACGCCCTGCCCGCTGTCGGAGACTTCTGCTCCGGCGGCTTGCGCCCGCGCTGAGAGCTGGCCAGGGGGATCCCAACGGGAGCCGCGTGGGTAGCGTCCAGAGGGGCCTCTCTGTCAGCCAGTGTGGACGCTGGACAGAAAAGAGCTTCCGCCTTCAGATCTAGGTTCTTGGCAATTGGGGGCAGATGCATGGGGGGCACCAGGCAGTGCCCGGAACCCTGGACACCTGGAGAAAGGGGTCTCTCTGATCGAGCCCCATCACCCCCACCAACGCTCCCGCCATCCCCGCTGCTGGCTGCTCCGGGGGTCTCCGCGGCCTTGTCGCCCTCCTCCAGGAGGCTGCCCCCTGCACCATCAGAGCCCACAGACAGCCGGGAGTTGTTGAGGTGGGTCTGGGTGCGCCTGTGCTTGTACAGGTTGCTCTGGGTCTTGAAGGCGATGCCGCAGGTGGCGCACGGGAAGGGCCTCTCTCCGGTGTGGGACCGAACGTGCTTCTCCAGCACACTGGGTTTCAGGCAGTCCCGGCCGCAGTGTGGGCACAGGTACTTGCCCGCTTTACGCGCCTTCCCCGGACTGCCCAGCGTGGGCCCCGGGGACAGGACAGGGAGAGTGCCCACGATGTTCACGGTGACCGTTGGGGTCACTGGCTTCCCGACCTGGGCAGGGCCAGGGCCTTCAGGCTGCAGCAGGGGGCTGAGGATGAAGGGTACGCTGCCCCCATCCACACCGCCCGTCACCAGGGGGGCACGTGGCTGGAGACCCCCGGGAGGCACTGTGTGGTACAGTGGGATGGGCAGCGCCTTCAGGAACACCGTGGGCGCCAGGCTCTGCTCTGGCGGCAGAATGATGGGGCCCAGAGTCAGGTGTGGTGAGGCCTGCTGACCCGGGGCCCCTGGAGTCCCAGGGGCAAGAGCTGGCTGCTCCCTGGCAGGTGAGGCGGGGCAGTTGAGTTCTGGCACCTCCATCCCACATCGTCTGTGTGGCCCAGGATGCTAGGAAACCTGCAGGCAAAACCAGACTTTACCATGGGCACCTGTCTTTCATCACACGCACACTCTCCCCTGCCTCCCACCGGGCATTCATCACCCACTGAAACCTGACAACAATCCCCCAAGGAAAGTACTCTTATCCCCACATCAGGAAAGGGGAAACTGAGGCTCAGAGAATGGAGGTGACTTGCCACGCAGCTTACATGGCAAAGGCAGTGGCATGTGGGAGCCAGCTCAGACCGGTTCACACTGGCTCATGAGAGCTAATGGTTAAGTTTTCAGGAATTTTGCAAGCCAGTTGTTAAACATGGCCATAATTAAAAGTTATATTATATAAACTTACAATTAAATAACATATTAAAAAGGTGCTACAACTGGATGTCACATGCAGAAGAATGAAGTTAAACCCCTACCTCACACCATATACAAAAATGAACTCAAACTGTATCACAGACCTAAATGTATGAACTAAAACTATAAAACTCTTAGAAGAAAACAAAGGAGTAAATGTTCATGAATTTGAGTTTTGCAACGAATTCTTAGATATGACACCAAAAGAATGAGTAATTCAAAAACAAAAGAAAGGTAAATTGGACTTCATCAAAATTAAAAGCTTTTGAGCATAAACAGACACATCAAGGAAATGAAAAGACAAAGGACTCTTACAACTCAACAACAACAAAATAAACAACTGAGCAAAGGACTTGAATAGACATTTCTCCAAGGAAGATACACAAATGGCCCAAGTACATGTAAAGATGCTCAATATCATGAGTCATTAGAAAAATGTGAGTCAAAAATGCCATAAGATATGACTCTACACCAGCTAGTATGGCTATGGTAATAATAATAATAACCTGGAAATAACAAGTGCTGATGAGGATGTGGAGAAATTGGAACCCTCTGCACTGCTAGCGGGAATGTAAAATGGTGCAGCCACATGGAGAACAATTTGGCAGCTCCCTAAGAAGTTAAATATAGAACTACTACCTGACCCAGCAATCCCACTTCTGGGGATATACCCAAAAGAATTGAAAATAGGTATTCAAATACAGACCTGCATACTAGCATAACTGGAAATAGCCAAAAGTTGAAATCAACCCAGATATCCATCCACTGATGGATAAATAAACAAAATACATTATACCCATATAGTGGGATATTACTCAGCCATAAAAAGAGAATAAACCTTAAAAACATGCTACAATATGGATGAACCTTAAAAACATTATGCTGAGTTCAAAAAGCCAGACTCCAAAGGTCACATATGTATAATTCCATTTATCTGAAAAACCCAGAATATATAGACACACACACACACACAAAAACAGGTTATGGTGATTGCCAGGGGTGGAAGGAGAATGAGGAATAGCTGTTTACTGACTCAGGGCTTCCTTGTGGGGCGATGAAATGCTCTGGAGCCAGATCGAGGGGGTGGTGGCACGCTGTGAATGCACTGCCCTGATTGTACACTTTACAGAGCTAAAATGCCAAATTTAATGTTATGTAAATTTTACCTCAGCAATAGGTTACTAAACACTCAACGCTCATCACTTACTAATTATTTTATTACATCTTGCCATTCTCAATGCTCTTGAGGTTATTTACATTGATTGTATCATTATAATGGAAATGCCATCTAATGGTGTGGTACCTCTCCCCAACTTTGGATTCTGTAATGTTATGTTCATAGCCTGGAACTGGCCATGGGGGGAGCATTTACACCACAGTAATGGGCAGGTGCCACATGAATCTTCTTTTTCTTTTATCCTGAGACCATCTCTCCCATTCTCTGTTCCTCACAAACTCATCTAACATTATAGATCTCACAGTAACATGCCACCTGCCTCAAAAAGAGAGAGACCTTATACTTTTTAAAGGAAAGATTTGAAGACACATCTTTAGAGATTAGTAGGTGGCTACTAGAATTCTTCAGCACTGACATAGTGGAAGACTATGTCTGACCTCACGGTGCTGCATCCTTGCTATGAGCTGAGGAATTTCACGATGCTCCCCAAGACCACCGACCTGAGTTCTGACCCTCATTGCCCCCCTTGCTGGGGATCCCCTGGGCCCAGTTCCCTTGGCTCTGAGAGCAGGTCACTCGGCAGAGCTCCTGGAGGACCAGGTGAAATGATGCCTGTGACAACACCGAGCGCAGTGCCAGGCATGGAGCAAGAGCTTGACTCACTTGAGTTTTCAAAGATCCTCCATAACCTTTTGAACTATTAATGCGCGATTGCTCCCCCACCCGATCATGCCTCCGACCCCCTTGCTCTTCCCCCAGAAGTCAGTGCAGCAGGCTCCCTTAGGGCTCCGGGAAGGGGGGCAGTCTCAGGTTGGGTTCCCAAGTAAAGGGTGTCATTACCAGGACCTTATTTGGGAGGTGACCCCAGGAAACAGCTGCAGGGGGTGGGAAAGTGGGGTGACAGAGCTGTGAAGCAAGTCCCACCGTGGCAGCTGGAGCTTCCTGGGGGTTCGCCGAGATCGTGCAGAGACACATCTCAGTTACCCCACCAGTGGCGGGGGGAGCAGCATGCTTTGAGGGCCACTGCTCGCAGGTCCAGCTGGCCAAGTGGACACACCATGCCAGCCTGGTGGCCCCAGAAAGCCACATGCTGCTCGCAGCAGCCTCCAGATGGTCCGTGCGGAGAGAGATCGATGGCCAGGGCTTCTGCTGAGCTGCTGTGGCAGAAACGGGGTAGAGCCTTCTGGATCCCAGAGCCTAACCCCCGGGAGGAGATCAGAGGGCGAGCAGTTCTCCCGTCCTCGGGAGCAGGGGGGAGGCGGACGGTCAGGACGGGAGGGAGAGGACCCTCAACTTCTGCTTCAGGGGGGAGTTGGGTACAGGGGTGACCTGGACCCTGTTCCTGGGGCAACTGGGGAGGCCCCTGGCCACAGAGCAGCCACAGCCACAGCACGTGTCCCCTGGGAGGGACGGACGGTCTCGGCACCGGGGGCCGGCAGCCAGCATGACCTCCACAGCTGGGACCAGGAAAAGGGTCGGACAGAGGGCGACCAGCTCGCGGGGCCTCAGTGCGGGCCTGCATGGGGTGCTGAGGCCTGAGCCCACGCTCCCCGAATGAGCCCAGCCTTGGGGGGGAGGGGCGGGGAGAGAAACCCAGACTGACTGCCTGGGGAGGGGGGAGATGGGGCTTGAAAACAGTCATTGCAGGAGAGGCGCGCGGAGCTGACACACTGTCATGGCTGTGGTTTGTCCCCGCAGCCCGCTCTGTGCTCACAGCAAAAGCCACGTCTCTTCGTCGCAGCTGCTCCCCTGGGGAGGGGGGAGATGGGGCTTGAAAACAGTCACTGCAGGAGAGGCGCGAGGAGCTGACACACTGTCATGACTGTGGTTTGTCCCCTGCAGCCCGCTCTGTGCTCACAGCAAAAGCCACGTCTCTTCGTCGCAGCTGCTCCCTGGGGCAGGGCAACTCGCCCGCTAACACCTCCTCCCGGGAGAGGACACTTTTCTCAGGAAACTCAACCGGCCGCCGCCCTGTTTTTCTCTCTGAATCAAGGAGGTGGCCGATGGGAGCACCCGCATTGCACGGAGGGGGAAACGAGGGACCGGGCTGGGAAGGCGGGAGCCAGGGAAGACCACCTGGTCAGCTGGACTCACTGTCCAGTGCTCCCCCTTGCCACCCTCAGGGGCCACAATGAGGGACTCAATGGGCCCCTCGCTTCCTCCATGTCCCCTCCCCGCCCACCAGCCATCTTCATCGCGCCAGTGCACAGCTGCTCACAGAGAAGCGGGAGAAACTCGAGGGACAGAGCGAGCATTCCCAAGGCCCCCGTTTTAAAAAGCAAATCACGGGGCCTGGGCAAAGAAATAGTTTCCAAAATTCACTGTTGGGGTCCTGACGCCGGTGGCCGCTGGGAAATGCTATCGATGTATTAAACAGACAGACTTTCTCAAGAAGAACATGGGGGCTGAAACGCTTCAGGGACAAGTCCCCGGCCTCAGCCCGCCCTGCACGCTGACGCCTCACACCCGGGGGCTGGGGCTGTCTCGCTGACACACTGTCACTCCAGAAGCCTGTGCACAGCCGTGTGCGTGTGCGTGTGCATGTGCTCGGGGCCGCTCACTGCACACGGCTAAAGTGGCACATATTACGTTAGGTATATTTCACAACTTTTAAAAAGTGAAAAGATGCCCTGGCCAGTGTTGCTAAGTGGTTAGAGTGTCAGCCCATGCACCAGAGGGTCCCGGGATCAATTCCTGGTCAAGGGCATGTACCCAGGTTGCGAGTTCACTCCCAGTCCTGATTGGGGCGCGGGAGGCAACCAATCTATGTGATCTCTATGTGATCTCGGACATCAATGTTTCTCTCTCTCTCCTTCCTTCTCTCTCCCCCTCTTCTCACTTTCTAAAAAACCATCTCGTGAGGATTTAAAAAGAAAAAAAGATATCATTACCCAATGAGCTGAAAAGTTACATTCATAACAAAACCCTGCACACAGATGTTTATGGCAGCTTTGTTCATGATTGCCAAACCCTGAGAGCAACCAGACCTCCTTCCGTAGGTGATGGGTAAACTGTGTTCCATCCAGACAATGGAATATCATTCAGCGCCTAAAAGAAATGAGCTATCAAGCCATGAAAAAGCATGGAGGAAACTTAAACGCATGAAAAAGTCAACCTGAGCGGCTACATACTGTGTGATTCCAACTCTCTGACCTTCTGGAAAAGACAAAACTGTGGAGACAGTAGAAAGACCAGTGATTGCCGAGGGTCAGAGGGGAGGGGGGTGAGCAGGCGGAGCACAGCGGATGCTCAGGGAGTGAACTGCTGTGTGGGGGACATAACGACGGGCCCAGAGGATATGCAACACCCAGCGTGAACCCTGGTGTAAACTACGTACCTCAGTTAATACTAATGTGTAATCGTGGCTCGTCAATTGCAGTAAAAGTACCACACGAATGCAGCCTGCTAATAATAGAGGAAACTGTACGGGGAGAGGGTGGGTGGTATTTGGGAATTCTACCTTCCCCTCATTCTTCTATAAACC